GAGAAGAAGAAGAAGAAGAAGAAGAAGAAGAAGAAGAAGAAGAAGAAGAAGAAGAAGAAGAAGAAGAAGAAGAAGAAGAAGAAGAAGAAGAAAAACAAGAAGTCCTCTTTCTTGTATCGCCCTATAGAGCCCAAGAGAACGGGGGCCGGAATCTGTTGTGTAACAGCTAGGCTCTTCGCCATGGCACGCAGACGACACGAGTTCGATCCGCGAGCCAAGACGTTATAGACGGCAGGGTTGAAGAAGCCAGCCTCATAATTGGTCTGATTTGTATCGACAGAAAAATTATAAAAACTACCAGCAGAAGGGTAACTCGCACAACTTCATAATATAGCAACAACTTGGTACTGGGATATCTGATTTTGAGAATACAGCATAGGGTCGGGGATGCGGTAAACGTTTTCGGGATATGGTATGAATTTGGGGGTACGGCATAGGTTTGGGAATATAGTTTAAGTTTGCCTCGGGGATATGATAGAAGTGTGGGGATAAGGAATAGGTTTTGGAAAATGGTGTAAGTTTGGTTCGAGTATGTAACGATACAATTATGGGGATGAGGTATCGTATCATTACGGTTGTATCTGATATACTTTTCTACCAAAAGGATCCACTATTGTCTGTCGTGCACAGCTGTAGAGTAACATGGACAATTGCGGCTTTAATTTCTCTGTCCCTCCTTCTTGGGCCTCTAAACCATCCCGCGTCTTTTCCTCTTCTTCTTCTTCGACCTGCTCCTCAACCTCCTCCTCACTCTCCTCATCATCCTCCTTCTCCTTTTCGGCCTAATTATCTTACTCCTCCTCTTGCACCTCTGTTACTCTACGTCCTTATCTTTCTCCACGTCTTCCTCTTTTCCTTCTCATCATCATCATCATCATCATCATCATCATCATCATCATCATCATCATCATCATCATCATCATCATCATCATCATCATCATCATCATCATTCTTATGATGATTTTCAGGGTGGTTAAACATTTATAGTAGACAACAAAAGGGAGTTTAAACCACAGGAACAAAAAATACATGAAATTCAAAGAACATAAATAATACTTACTGAACATTTATTTATTTTCCATAAGGGAAGCGAATAAGCATAACATAACATCAAAGTTCAACGGCTCAATGCAAAACAAAATGTTAAAAAAAGTTTTTGTGAAGACATAAATTGAATGCTGGGTAAAAGCTGAACATCCCAATGACCTTGGCACCTGCCACCAGGGTGACCTTGGCTACCCTTGGCTGACCTTGGCTGACATTGACAAGGTGAAGGACACATGTGATCAGGAGATGGCGTGTGAGTCGGTGCATCCTCGTGTGATAATCACCTGAAAAAAAGTTGACAAAAGACAAAACTTCATTCTTCAAAGTTATTTAAGTTTCGACTTTAAGTGCCAGATATGGAACAGAAATCATCGGTCATGGTTCATCACTCATTCCTCCCCATAAAACAATAAAATAAAATAATAAAAAAAACCCCAACAGATTCCTAACCTTTCCCCATCACCCATCTGGTCACATTTTCTAAGTTATTCCTGATCTATCTCGTCTGTTGTCTTCTTTCCCGGTGATTTTGTTTTAAGTTTAGCGTCTAGCTGAACACCACAAATTAAAAACAGTGTACCCGTCTGGATGAGCCTATCGTTTCCACCATGCAGGTAATACAGACTCGGACAAACTCCATTTTAAGTGCGCACGAACTGTTACCGAACGCATGAGAATTCCTTGTGTGGCGGCTATGTCCAGTACAGCGGAGTGAGCGGAAGGAGAGCCAGAAAACTCCGTAAACAATCCAGATTCCGAAACGCCACCGCAGGAACTGGAAACAAGGTTCATTCCCTTCGTAGTCCAGTATCATACCAACTGAACGCACAGTGCGCCTTTCTCTTTTGTGTTGTCTGATTTTGTTTAATTGACATTGTGTCGCATTGTTTGGTAATGATTGTGTCTTAACAGACAAGACGATCAAAATGATGATGAATGCTGAGAGAAAGAGTGAGGGGGGGGGGAGAGGGAAGAGAGAGAGAGAGAGGGGGGTGGGGGAGAAAGAGAGAGAGAGGGCGGGAAGAGAATGAGAGAGACAGAGGGTGGGGGAGAAAGAGAGAGAGGGGGAGAGAGAATAAGAGAGAGAGATGGGGAGAGAGAGAGAGGGGGGAGAGAGGGAGAGAGAGGAGAGAGAGGAGAGAGAGCGAGAGAGAGCAAAAGAGAGAGGGACAGAGGCAGAGAGAGAGAGAGAAGCAGAAACGGGAGAAAGAAGGGCATGGTGGGAAGAGGAAATAGTCGAAGAAAGCAAAACAGAACAAAATAAACGCAAAGAGGCATAGAGTAGATGAGGAAAGCTAAACCTCCAACCCTCCATGAGAGAGAAAATCCGTTCAAAGTAGCTTTACCATAATCCAGAGAATCGAAAAAACATAACAAATTAAATACAAAAAGACAGGAATTACAATAAATACAACACAAACAAAACTCACAAAATAGATAACAAACTGAACAATTACAATAAACATAAACACAAAAAACCACAAACACATCCTGCACAAAGGATTTTACTCACTTCGTCCAAACTGCCACAGAAGGCTTCTCCGAGCAGTGTGAGTGGGCAGTTGTTGGTGTCCACACGACCTGGAGAAAGGGGCCGGGGGGGGGGGAGCAATTAAAATTAACAAACAAAGAGAGTTCAATAGTGGCATTAAAGGACCCAACACACCATGAAACAAATGTCTTATACAATAAGACATAGATGCCACGACTCTTGGGACGTTAATCTCTCCGTCACAAGGAGAAAAGTGTTGGAAACCTTCAAGATTTTGCATCGATACCATTCTTCATGGCGCACTGCGTTTGGGTCGTACAGGTGAGAATGGAATCAAATCTTAACAAACAAAAACAAACTATCACTGTACTGCCAGCATTTACATGGTGATATAAAAAACCCTGCACAACTTTTTTGGTTAAAATTTTCCTCTACATTATTGAAATTAATACAGAGCTCTGAGCTTTTTGTATTGAACATTTCCTCACCACCAGCTTATTACGTAAGTTTCGCACGAGATATAGAAATAATGTCAAAGAGTTCTTTACGCTTTCTTTGATGTCAAGGGTGGAAGTGGTCCATGAGTTAGGACCTGTGGAGAATCAGACAAAACGACCACTTCAGGTCAAACACACACCATTCGCACCCATTTAAACGTCACCAGGGTGCAGAATTCAGTAGATTAGCCCCATTAGAAGTCTGTCCGTAGATCATGTCTGCAGCATTGACTTTTTTTTATCTCAACGATCCACATTCTCAAGACAGATCTTCATCTACGACTGTATCATTTTCCCTTTCGCGAGGCTAACAGCAGAGGATAGCAATGTGTTCATGATTCCTCGATCATCTTGAAAAGAGTGCACATTACCTATGCGACATTTGGTTCCGTGGCAAAACCCATGTTCACTTTTCAGGTTATATTAATTCCACAAATGGTGCCTATATGGACAACCTCACCCCACCCCCACCCCTATTGTCTCTAGACACAGCTCCATACCGTAAGGTGAGCAGTGTGAATGGCTTTGAATACTCATGGTTGAGTGGATCATTGTGTTTGGCCACCACTGAACATTATGAACGACACGTTAGAATGTGTCGAGTCCAAAGGAGGACACAGGACATTGGTTCTTGAAATTCCAGAATAAAAAAATATAAAAAACTTTGTAGGGGAAAGATATATTGCTTAAAGGTTACAGGGATGGGAAGATTAAATTTTAAAACTAAAAGGAAAGAAAACAACAAAACAAACAAACCAATCATGTCGTGACTTTCCTTACAAGATCTGTTAAATTCGTGCATTTTGCATTTATCGGTGGTTTTTACAAAAGCCATTTCCGGTTTCGAAAATAGTTTTTTTCTTTGTGAATTTTATTCCAAACGAATTCCTTTTGAATGAATTATATCTGTTCCAAATTACAACATTCTGGTACAATTTTTGTGCCAGATATTTAGGAAAAAAAGTTGTACAGTTTGTTTGTTTGTTCGTTTTGTTTTTTTGTTGTTTTCTTTTTGGATCATCCTGTACTTCAATACAATAATATTGTATTATCTTTTTTGAAGGGTCCTAAGAAGCATTGTTAGTCGACCGAGATTTTTATCATGTAAGACGTATTTCTAAACTATTTTCTCACTCATTAAGTCTGATTTTTCACAGAAGTGTCCACGAAAAATTAAATATCTAAATTGTGTTGATGTGAGTGTAAAACCCATGGAATCACCTCTTTTGCCAAGGGCCTCTTAAAACGAAACATAGCCCCCTAAAGCTGTACAAAAACCCCAGGCCGAAAGAGAGAGAGAGAGAGAGAGAGAGAGAGAGAGAGAGAGAGAGAGAGAGAGAGAGAGAGAGAGAGAGAGAGAGAGAGAGAGAGGCGGATCTCTACAGGAGCCACATACCGTAAAACCTCTCACTCTCCACACAGATCTCGCCGTCTGCCATCACTTCCAGGTAACTGTCACCGTAGCGAACGTCCAGCTTGGTCCACTGAGTCTGTGAGGTTTTGAGGGAAACGTCACAGGGGGTCAAAGGAACGGTTATCTTTTATCATAATATTATAACAACATCAGGATCATACATGTATTCGCTTTTTTGTCTGAGCAGAGAGAAGCCCATCGACACTATAGCAGTCACTTAACGCGAAGGAAAAGTAAGACCGATAGACAGAAACATGAGAGGGAAAGAGAAAAGACAGGACCTACCACTGATGCTCTCCAACTTCCGACAGATTAGCATTATAGTAATTCTGGAAAGAAACAGTACGAGCAGATTTCACTCAAGCTCCCAGCAGCTACTCTGGCTTAGGGAGAGCCAGTAAGGCAAATCAAATACATTTAGGCTAAACATTTGCTTCTTGAATGTTTGAAAATGGTGAAATGGTATGGGTTTAACGCCCCTATTAACACTACTAGGTCACTTTTAAGAGCGGGGCCTCCTAGTTTAACATCCGTCTTCGAAAGGACTGAGCCAAGTGGGAAATTCATGTCAAGTGCCTTTCCCAAGGACACAACGTCGGACCGAGCCGAGGTTTCTTGAATGTTTGTGCTATTACAAATGTAAAGGGAGCGGGTAGTAAGAGGGAACTACTGGTAGTCTTTTATGTCGGTCAATTAATCAGTCTTGCTTTTTTCCCAAGTACTAAATTATCGTTATTGTATTAATGTGTTTCTCTTTGCTAATAGAAAAAAACGCACTCAAACAAATGAAAGAAACAAATAAAGTGAAACAGGTTGTGTAAACGAACTGAAACATCGAAGGATTTTGTGTCAAACATTTTGAGAGTCAAATCCAAAAATAAAATCCTTTTATCAATGGACTATGTTTGTTAGTAAGTGTGATTACCTTTGACGTTTCAATATGCAGTTGAATTTCCTTTTTTCCACAACACACATAGTAGTTCACAAGAGTAATGATGAAGTTTACAACAGTGATATTGTTGTTCACAATAGTGATAGTGTAGTTCATAGTAGCCACAATGACGTACACAACAGCGAAGATGCATTTAATAATCGCGACAATACAGTTCACAATAACAGCAAAGTTACTTGTTAACTTACAACAGGTTTCTTGAGTACACAGAATTCTGACATCATCTCTGTGTCTTCTGTCATAATGGCGACAACCACCTGCTTCTTCCACGGCTGGTATTTGATCTGTGGGAACAAGACATTGTAAAATAAAATCATAATTTTATTGACCAGTCGTAGGTGAGGGTTGGGGTTAAATTTTCCACCTTAGCGCGCGAGGTGAGAGCTTTTCCATTGTGGGAAATTATGTTTTCATCGAATATCTCCATATTTTTGCTCAAATAGGATTTCTCCCTCAGCCCAGACCTGCCCTGGACGAAAGAATCAAATAGAGTACGTCTATGGGCTGACTGACCCTTTCAGCACAGTTAAGTTGTTTATCAGGGAAATCGTTCTGTAGCACGAATTACTTCGATAAGATCGACACCGTATTCTTTCATAATAATATTAACATTATGTTTTATCTTTGCAAATCCATAGACTACTCTCTACTCTGTTCAAGAGCAAAGTGTTTTACTTATTTAATCCACCATGTACTGGACCATACGACCGATTGAAATTGTTGGGATTGTCATGATAATATATGTCCTACACTTTCATTGACACAATTTTAAACATCTTAGATACGTGTTTGATCTGAGATGAGCTTGGTTAAAGGCTTGAGGTTTTTAGTCTGAGCGTCTTCATCCTCCTTCTCTTCTTTCTTCCCCATCTCCCCCTCTTCTTCTTTCTCCTGCTCTTCCTCTTCCTCCTCCTCCTCCTCCTCCTCCTCCTTCTTCTCCTCCTCCTC